GTGTGTGTGTATGTGTGTGTGTGTGTGTGTGTGTACCTGGTACTAGTAAATTTTGACCTTGTGGGGACATTTTTGAGGTCCCCATGAGGAAACAAGCTTATAAATCATACAGAATTAGTTTTTTTGAGAAAGTAAAAATGCACAAAGTTTCCTGTAAGGGGTAGGTTTAGGGGTAGGGTTGGTGTAGGGCAATAGCACATACAGTTTGTACAGTATAAAAACCATTACGCCTATGGAATGTCCCCATAAAACATGGAAGCACAACATGTGTGTGTGTGTGTGTGACTTTCAACTTAAGCTATAAGTTTATGCAAAATGACTTCATTTTACTCCAAATGCCATCAGTTGTGGACAAAGTGCACAAATCAAGTATAAAAATATTACTCCAGCATTGTCATAGACTATCAAAACGTTAAATATGTTAAAATATAAATTTAGGTTATATTTCATTTGCACTTCATGTGTGCAAACAAGTGGGGGGAAAACAAAACAAAATAAAATATTTAAAAATATACTGTATATATATAGTCAAAACAAAATGTGCATTGGCAAACAATATAATGTAAAACCAGATGTCATATAGGGCAAAATGTATAATGTTTTAAGAACTCTCAAAAGTACAATAAAATGCTTTGGAATGTATTGAAATAAACATTTAAAAATACTCGAAAAATACTTGAAAAATGTACTTAAGTACAGTAACAAAGTAAAAATGCTTATTTACCAGCACAGAATATTAGTGAACACAATGGTTGATTTGAGATGTTGTGGAAATGTCACTGTCAGAAACTTTCAGCAAAATGTTCAGAAAACGTTTAGAAAACAAATGACAAACATTATTCTGTGATGTATGTCCACAGTTGGACATACTAGACAAATAAACTAGCCAGAGTGTGGGGGAAAAAATTATTTTAAGTCAACAAGGCCGAAAAGTGCCCACAGTTGAAGAAACACCCACATACAGAAATGTTTTTCCTGAAAGTATTAGAAACCGTCTCTTCACACTCCGCCATCATCCATCCAGAGAACATGTTGTGAAGCCTCCGCACTTCTCTCCTACTTCATCCCTCGCTTCATTAAGATGCCACCCAGTTTGATGTGGGAGTAGTCAGCCCTTATGGACATATATTACTAATGTTACATGTGAGCGTGCGTCACAGAATACTGTATCCCACAATGTGTTTAACTTGACCTTTACATTTCATTTGAAACAATATGCAAACATGTCTGAAATGTATATCACTACTGTCAAAAACAACTTTTTTTTGTATACTTGTATACTGAATAGTAATGCAATAAATAGTAGGCCTATTCCAAACACAGTCTACTTGTTTCTATACTTCCAGAGCTGTGGGGTCTGCAGCTGGGGAGAGGACAGACCTGAATCATATGAGAGTAACAGTAAATCACTCCTAGAATAGCTGCAATTCTGAGATTGCTAGTAAACATGCCACCGCTTTTGCTTGCTTGCTTTCTTTCATCAGGGCCAGCACACACAAAGGGCTGAGAGAAGGCAACATTACAAAGAATTCTGGGAGAATCAATTTCAGGTTTGACATGCAAATGACGTGTCCCACAAAGATGCTGTCCGCACGCCTCAGACTAATGTCAGGCCTGTTGAAATATGGGCTGAAGCTTTCAGCAATCATGCATTCTGATCTGGTTTGTTCATGGAATGTGTGTAGATAGTAAGAAAGTAAAAAAAGTCATTTTTCGAAGTATTTTACTTTTGGGTCTAGGCACCTCGGTTGGATTGTTTTGAAGCTGCGGGGATGGCTTTTTCTAGATTGTAAGATAGAAATAAGCTGAAGAACAGAACAGTTACTGGACATTATCAGTTACATTCATACACTTTTACTTTAGCCCTCAAATACAACACAATGCAATGCATAATTCAAAATATGGGTAAAACACCTGTGGAAAATCAATACGAAACAATCCTTCATGTTAATACAGTACATTGGGCCCTATTTTTTACAATTTTTTCTTAGAGTGTATGGAGGATGTGTAGTTTAATTTCACTAATTTAAAAATAAATACATAAAAATAAAATGAACTAAAACCAGAATTATCTACGTTTGTGCTGTTGTTTTTCTTTTAAAAATTATGTCACTAAAAGCATATTGCAAAACACTAAACAGATGCAAAGTGATAATGAGGACACAAGAACAACCTATGAATTGGTAATATATATATATTTTTTTTTATTTATTTTTATTTTTATTTTTTTATTATTATTAGAGAAAGGTAAAGACACCTGCATTTTTCCAAATAAATTGTCAGATTGTCAGAAAATGTCCAAAATGGCAACATCCACTTTAATGTATGCAATGAAATAATGAAATGTTCGCTCAATTGTAATCGTTTTTATTCAATATATTAAAGGAATAATGCAGACAAAAGTGAAAATTTGCCGAACATTTACTCACCCTCAGGCAATCCGAAATTGGGATGAGTTTGTTTCTTCATCAGATTTGGAGGAATGTAGCATTACATCACTTGTTCACCAGTGTATCCTCTGCAGTGAATGGGTGCCATCAGAATGAGCTGATAAAAACATCACACCACTCCAGTCCATCAGTTAATATCTTGAGAAGACAAAAGCTGTGTGTTTAAGAAACAAATCCATCATTACTGTGTTTTTTAACTTTAAGGGTGAGTACATTTTCAGCAAATGTTCTTTTATTGGGTGAACTATTCCTAGATATATAATGATGGGGACATGAAAATGCACTGCATAGTAAACCTGCCCCTGCCCCAATAGGTGTTTGTCTGAAATAATTATACCTGTGAGGAGAGATACGCTGATTAACCTTGTACTGGCTCAACTGAAATCACTGTTCATCTGCCCACACTGCAGTTACACTACATTCAGTGCCCCCCTCAACAGTCTTCAACACAGCCAGATATAAGCACCAACAAGACCCCCTTACACCTTTTGCCAACCAGCACTAAACCAATGGCATTCAGCTGCCTTGTCAGCCCCATATGTAATCCATCAAGACACAATTAATGCTAAAGGAAGTGGGCACCAGCTTGCAAGACACAGACAAATGGGCAGAATCTGAGTGGAACAACTATAAATAGCCAGAAGAGGAATTAATCACTGCTTATCAAGTCTCCTGTGTTTCATTCAGGACAGGGCAAAGCATTTGTTTCAGGATTTCATGCAGGTTTTTTTCATCAGACTAAAACAATCTGAGGGAAATTCTGGCTGAAAAATGAACACAAATGTCAATTTCCTAGTGTTTTGGTAGCATATGTCTAACTTTTCTTTTACGGAGTGTCTATTTAGACTAAGTGCAAACAGCCCGCCTTGTTGGCAGAGGCTATGTACATCAACTCCGCCCACCAGCATGTGATTGGAAGAGACAACATTACAAAAGATGACTGTTCATCAGTTTTAGTGGTGTAGATGGTTAAACATGTGTCATAGTCTTTTTGACGCAATCAAAACGAGTTCAAATCCGCCTTTTGCCGAACTTTTTTTTCTCCCGTTTCAAATCTCATATCACATCGGAAAGGCATTTATTTTCAATAAAAATGAAGGAAATAATCAAAAAGTTGAAAAGAAAGTAGGGTTAGGGTAGGTGTAGGAAGGTCTTTATTGTCCAAATAAGGTGGCATCCATTTAATAATTTGAATTAAAATGATAATTTACACTCAATACATTATTACTGCATACTGTTTTATAATGCAGGGGTGTCATGTTACAAAATGTATTACGGTCTTTTTGAACCAAAACTTTTTATAATTTTGACAAAATACATATTGTTGGAAAGGTCTGGGTCTGAAGATTTCATATTTGGTGTTTATTTATTTGGTGTAGAAATTGATAGATTTGTGACAGACATGGCGGATGTGTGTCTACCTTTGAGTGCAGGTGAGGACACGTTCAAGCTGCATTCGGTGCAGCTCGAGCCAAAAAAATTGCAATGGAGTTTGGGTGGCACCCGGTGGCTGTTTGTGGTATAACGCCTAAACAAAATTGCATATGAACCTCAATTTTTTTATATCAACTTCAAATTTGGAACACAACTTCTGTAGACATATGGCTTTAATTTTATAGCAATTTTGCATTTTTAACTATTTTTTTTTTATATTGAATTTATATAAAATAAAAGAAAAATAATACAATACATTTTCTTTCCAGTAAATTTAAACTTCTATAACTTTTTAATACTTTCATTTTATCAAATGATTTCCCCCTCTGTAATAATCTGCGAATTGTCTTCTTTAAAAAGAGACCAACCTTAGGTCTGTATTCAAAAGCGTTCATGAATTATAATCATTTAAGTTTGGATAGTGCACTTTCTCGTGAATTTTCAAAAATGGGGAAGACAGTTAAGGGGTTAATGGCAACAGCACTCCAGATGAGATGAACAAAACACGACGATCAGCATGATTTGAGAAGATTCCAGGAAAAGGAAGGAAGGACATTCTTACAAAGACATTTACATGCTCATTGGCAGACATTTTCTTTCATGCTTTTAGTGACCTTTAAACCCTTGAATGCACACGTATTTGATTTCATTTGAAATCATAACCGCTCTTTGTTATCCATTTTTCAGAATCCAAGATTTTACCTAACATCTATGAAGCCTAACCCAATGCGGTCTCAAAACATTATGGCTTTTCTTAAAGCTGATGTTCAGTTTTCAGCTGGCACAACCTCATCTAGTGAATAACAAACCATAATAACCGTGATGTGCACTTACTGTTATGGTATGCATTTATGTCGATTTTTCAATTTCATTCCAAATGCATGACATGAAGGCAATCTTTTGTTTAAACGTGAATAAATGTGAGTGGTTTTTGTCCGAGCAAAATGGCACAATGCTAGGGAGCTGCAGACAGTTGCGATTGTATGTGGCTGTTCACTGGCCCAAATCAAACGCCTCTCCAAGTCTTTTCACATTGCACCTAACTCCGGGTTATCATCTTTTTTAAATATGCTTTAAAGCATGGGGGTACTTTGGAAGAGGATTAGCACTGCTTTTAACCCTGGGTTTTGAAATCCTGCTCTGAAGCATTAGCCCCTGCAAGAGAGAAATAATCCATTGTTCAAACCGGTCTCCTACTGTATATGATTAATAATACTAACACTGCAAATAAGAGTGTTAACACAGCGTAAAACCCCAAAACCTGAACAGTGACTGAATGGTGTAAACATGGGAAAAGATTACTCAAAACTTACGCTTATGATATTTATGACTGATATGGCTAAAGTACATTATTTATTATTTAAAAGAAAAGAAAAAACATTAAAATGTATTAAAACCCATTTTTATATATTTTTTTTTTGCCATAATGTAAACAATGTCAGAGTTATACAGTTATACTAGTACGAGTATGATAATGAAGAAACATTATTTTTTTGTAAAAAAAGGAAAAGAAACGAAAGAAAAAAAATAACAAAATTGAGTCTCTGCTTATTTAAAAAGTCAAATCAGATGCAACCAATGTGAAAAGAAAGAAAAAACATAAAACAAGAAATCATATCATAAGGACTCATTAGCAGGCAAGGTTAGTTCAAGTTCAATAAAATGTAAATTATATTTGCTAAGCAATAAATAATTTGTATCTGTAAATAAAGTTAGTTTCCTTTCATATTTAAAAACTAAGATGAAGATGTGAACACTAACGTATTCAGTGTGTATGAAGAAATCAACATGAATACAGATTTTAAATGAGCTTTTTTAAAGATTTGTCCATTTCTTTATCTTGAAAGCTCGTAATGCACTGTGTGTGTTGTTGACCCAGCCCTCACTAATTGTAGTGATGTTCTTCTGTTGCTGTCTTCAGATGTTGTATTTCTTCCTTTATCTGCATTTGGGTCGTGTGGGGGCAACGTGACTTCTCTTTGAGATTGTGTTGACCTTTATGAAATGAAATCTGAGGGGGATGTCAGCTTTAGAGAGGACATCTGAAAGGTTCGCTGTCAGAGTGAGTGGCGGAAAGGTAAACAGACTGGGAAAGAGAAAAAAGCTGAAGTGGCATAGCCTGCAGTGATTATAAGCTTCAGTTCCTTCACTGCTGGGATTGCTCCAGACATTATCACGACTATCTTGCTGCATTGACGGTACACTGACCCCAGCAATTGTCTGCATGACCTTTGACCTCCGTGTTGACTCCACTCATGAAAATGTATTGAATATACTTTACAAAGACACCTACACAGCGGTGTAGGACAAGGAATACGATTTCTTTTTCAGTTCTCTTTAAAGCCAGATTAGTGCGCATTAGAGGAGCGATCCACGATAAAATCTGACATAATGAGTGCGAGTTGCTAACGTCAGCACAGCAGCCAAATGAAGAGGTATCTGACAGGCCTATCAGGAACTGCAATGGTGCATTTTGTCAGTGTGTCAACATAACAGCATCTGCCCTTATATTGGAAGTGCTTGTGCAATGCTCCTTCCAGTGGCTCAATACACTTCTCCTCAGAAACATTCAAAATGCCTTAGATTTAAAAGGTCTAATTGAAATCAAACTTCAACAATACTCCAATTCAAATCAGTTGGAGTACATTTGCTGCTATAAATACTTGTACTTATATATTGAACCTGTACTTATCTATATATTGATAAGCTTTAAGAGTTTCACACGACTGGCCTATAATGGTATCCAATTCTGAAACTACATTTGAATGCATTTTAACATTTAAAAGGACAGTTCACCCAAAAATTAAAACTGTCATCATTTATTTCCCCTCATGTTGTACCAAATGCGTACGCGTTTCTTTCTTCTGATGAACAAAGACGATATTTTAAAGAACATGGGTTACCAGTTGCTGGTAGCCATTGACCTCCATATCATTTTTTTTTTCTCCCATATTGTTTGTTTAACCAATTATTTTTATTTTTTTTTCCCCGGCTCAACATTAGATGACTGTTTAAAGACGGATAAATGGCACTTTTCAATGGTGCAGGGAACAGCTCAGAAAATTGCATACAATAAACATGAACTAAACTTTAACTTCGATAATAATGTGGGGAGTAATTTGTACACCCAGTTAAAGGGACACCTCTCACCAAAGACAATACAGATGTTGAAGATCTCGTTTACCCCACGGGCTTAAATTTGTATAGAGTGCATAACACCCTCCAGTCACAGTAACTGATCAAAATATCCCATATATTTTTCCAAAGCATCTGCTTTGATACACACACAGATACTGTCAATACTATCTACTCAGGACAGACGTTTAGAAATATGTCGGAGATATGATTATCTAGTATCATTTCAGGCATGACATCCACCTTTGACAGGGTTTTTTTATTTTTATAAAGCTTCTTTACTACTGTAAGGTGTCCAGAAAATGTCAAAAGATCTTGAGAAAGACATGGGGGGGTTTGACGGATAAGGTAATTTAGTTCCACGGAATCTGTGTAAGATGAGCTATGATTATTACCTGACCAAGATAAAGGTGTCAATTTGTTGAATTGCATTCACTTCATCATGAATCTTAAAAAAAATGCCCAAAACCTATGGTTTGAAGTAATAACTTCGCATACCCTCAAATATGGTCAACCGACACCTCTATGATCAAATGCCACTTAACTCACAGAAACTGATTTTTTTTTTAATTGCTCCATTTCTTAAATATACCTTGCTTGAGCTGGGGGAAAACACTTTGCAAACTGGTTCACGCTGAGATAGATACATGTTAAAGCTGCAGTCCGTAACTTTTTTGTGCTCAATTTACAAAATTTATATAATAAGCGAGTACACCATGAATCCATTTTCAAACCGTGTTTTTGGCTTATCCTGAATCACTACGGTACACCTAGATTAAGTGTTTATATTCGGACTATTTTATATGCGGAGTAGCCCGGTACCTGCGTGATCCGTCATAGACACAAGAGAGTAGTTCCGGCTACAACGTTCTTCCGCAAGACGCACGCGGTTCCGTTTACTAGCCGCTAGAGCGCCACAAGTTACGGACTGCAGCTTTAAGGAACGTATTGGTAGAGCTAGTAAACACTAATCTGTGTTTTTGGCTTATCCTGAATCACTACGGTACACCTAGATTAAGTGTTTATATCCGGACTATTTTATATGCGGAGTAGCCCGGTACCTGCGTGATCCGTCATAGACACAGAGTAGTTCCGGCTACAACGTTCTTCCGCAAGACGCACGCGGTTCCGTTTACTAGCCGCTAGAGCGCCACAAGTTACGGACTGCAGCTTTAAGGAACGTATTGGTAGAGCTAGTAAACACTTTCCACACTAGAGGGAGACACAATCCATGTTATACCTGCTCTTCTGTGACAGCCGACACTGGAACGGGTTTCTCAGGTGAACGGAAAAATTATCCACAACTTCAACCTATACTACATTTAATCACAAGTTTTACCAAGTCAACATGAATACAGTCTTCTCATAAGGCACAGTATGTAATACTTTGTGAAACCGCTTTAAAAATAGTCATCCGTTCGCCATAATGTAACACTTGAAAGCCAGAACTAGTTTTAGTACTTCTTTTATTTGGTACAACCGGTAAGTTAACGGTCAAAGATGTCAACGTGTATTGCTAATTTTGCATTTCACATGTAAAGCCCTCCAATACCCAGTCTAAACCTGTACAAAGAACAGTCATGTGCTTGAAGCGAAAAACACACAAACAAGCTCCTAACCTCGAGAAAAGCAAAAAGCTCAAGAAATAGAGTTAAGCACATCATACACGAGTCCCTATCAGGTCGAGAAGACAGCTAATATCAGACAAAGACAAAGCTGCAGTCTAAACAGCGCACAGATAAGTGAAGGAGAGTTAATCGATGTGTAAAACCACTGCTATAAACAAACCGAAAGCTGCATTTGTTTGTTTTCTGAACATGGACCCATGATGACACCTCGTTTTTTTTTCCCTCTCATGTGAACTCAAAAAGAAAACAGAAAATCTTTGTATAAGTAAAAAAAAAACATCAGAATCCCCTATAACTGTAGTTTTCACTTTTCTTCACAGCTGACCTCTTTGTTTTCTTTGTGTTTTCGAACCTCTTCCAGCTTCTTGTCCTAAAACAGAAGCAAAAATCATTGATGGTTTTTATGGTGACAAAAACGATCTGTGAAAACACAGAGTCACCTTTACCTTCTCTTTGAACTTCTCGTTCATGGCTGCTGTGTATACACACATACTTGCATTTGTTCTTTACGGGGACTCTCCATAGGCGTAATGGTTTTTAAACCGTACAAACTGTATTTTCTATTGCCCTACACCAACCCTACACCTAAACCTACCCCTCACAGAAAACTGCTGGCAATTTTTCAATTTCATAAAACACAATTTAGTATGTTTTTTAAGCCTTTTGTTTTACAGGGCCTCGGGAAGTGTCCTCATAAACCATGTATACGTTGTTGTACCCATGACATTATACACATTTGTGTCCTCATAAACCACATATACCAGTACACACCTTCTTATACATTGTATTTATTATTATTATTATTATATATTTTTTCATTTATTTATTTTAAGAAAATAAATCGTTCCCACATGAAAAAAAATACTATAGTAATTTATAGTAAATACTATAGTGTTTTTGAACCATACTATAGTAAAGTGTATTATAATGTATAGTATTTAACACTTTGTTAATGAATGCTACAGCATACTGTAGTATTAACTATAGTGAACTGATAAACACTGTAGTATACTTTAGTTTTTACTACAGTAAACTGTAGTATATTGTAGTATAATATACCCTATAGTTGTAGAAAACTTAGTACAGTATTGGGTAACTATTACTCTAGCTGTTATATTACAACAGCAACTATAGAATTACCACAACAAATTAATTCAAGAACTATGGTATGGTTCAAAAACACTATAGTATTTAAGTGTCCTCATAAACCATGTATACGTTGTTGTACCCATGACATTATACACATTTGTGTCCTCATAAACCACATATACCAGTACACACCTTCTTATTTGTATTTATTATTATTATTATATATTTTTTCATTTATTTATTTTAAGAAAATAAATCGTTCCCACATGAAAAAAAATACTATAGTCATTTATAGTAAATACTATAGTGTTTTTGAACCATACTATAGTAAAGTGTATTATAATGTATAGTATTTAACACTTTGTTAATGAATGCTACAGCATACTGTAGTATTAACTATAGTGAACTGATAAACACTGTAGTATACTTTAGTTTTTACTACAGTAAACTGTAGTGTATTGTAGTATATACCCTATAGTTGTAGAAAACTTGGGTAAAGTAATTTGTTTATATCACTATAGTTGTTATATTACCACAGCAACTATAGAATTACCACAACAAATTAATTCAAGAACTATGGTATGGTTCAAAAACACTATAGTATTTACTATAAATTAGTATTTTATTTTTTTTTTTCATGTAAACTGTAGTGTATTGTAGTATATACCCTATAGTTGTAGAAAACTTGGGTAAAGTAATTTGTTTATATCACTATAGTTGTTATATTACCACAGCAACTATAGAATTACCACAACAAATTAATTCAAGAACTATGGTATGGTTCAAAAACACTATAGTATTTACTATAAATTAGTATTTTATTTTTTTTTTCATGTGGGTTTTCTCGATTGAGTACGCCTCCTGATGTGCCCAACAGGAGGTCTGGTCACTTTTTCGGAAAACTGGGTTCCCATTACAGCCCAACAATTAAAGAAATTTAGATGACATGTCTTGAATTCAGCGCGCAAAGGTTTGCTACAGCTTCGCGGGAAAAATTTTTTTTTTTAAATTGGCGCGTTTTCTTCAAAAACACACACAGCCCCTCCCCTGCACGTGTGAAAACCAGACGTGGGGAGGGGGAAAAAAATACACTTTGTCGTTATAAGTCTGCCATTTTTGTGTGTTCTTGCTGTAAAACGACCAACGATACCGAAGTGCATTTTGTGGAGAGACAAAGTCGCTTTTTTTATACAGTCTATGCTTTTATTAGAGCCAAGGAGAGAACAGATCCAAACAAAGACAAGCGTGCACAGCTCCGCCCTGCTCTTACTAACGTTACATCTCCATGATAACTCCTGCACACTACAAAAACATTATGCAATCTGCCCATTCTGGCTGTATTCGAAGCTGCAACGGTCTGATGCACGAGCAATGCATTATGAATGCAAAACCATGGTGTCATAAACTATACGGAGACGAAGATGCATGAGAAAGCTCATCATAACGTAGGTCAGATATTGTGACTTTTCAATATTCTTATCAGATTATACCAACATGTTGACTTAAACGTGACCTAAATTAAGACAAACCTTTAAAAGCGGGTCGGAGTAAAGCATGCAGGCATTGGATAAACTTACGGCATTAACAATAATAAACAAACGCACTGTGTAGACCAGGGACAAAGCATGCTTCCCTTAACTCTCAATATATGACATGCATGCCACAGAAATATAAATCTACACTTCATTAATCCTACTCATGCAAGACGCATCGCACAAATTTATAAAATCGTGTGCATTTTACCATAACAATGCAGGCACACACACCCACCCACCTTCACACAACAAGATCCAGGTTCGAATGATGACAAAGCTCGCCTCGCGCAGTTTTTTTTTTTCTCACTTCAACGCATGTCAAGTTCGCGCATAAAAGGATCGAATTTATGTCGTCACTTCATGTTCTTGACGCCTATTGGCTGCGCTCACTGGCTCCCGGATCATGTAGTTTTATTGAGAGGGTTCTGTAACAGCGGCTGATGGTGGTGAACCATGGTGTATTATGTCTACTCGCAAACTTGACTTTGGCAGTGAATAAAACACATGTAAATGGGTGTTTATGTAAAAGGAAAGTCTGTGAGTTTGTTCTTTTAATAGTATTTTAAATGGTAAGCCTACTTGTGATAAATGCTTCTTACCAATGCATTTACAACAAATAAATTAATTAAATAATTAACTGTTGTTGCAAGTATTTCAAATAGTGATCTATTGCGTCAGTGTCAGACAGTATGATCAGTATTACTTACAGCAAAAAAAAAAAAAAGATGGCTGTTGTCAATCATGCATTCAGTACATGAATTAAACTGAAAACCAGTAACAATAGATAAACTGATTTGTGTTCTGGCAGTATTTCATGTCATGTTACAGGCCAAGTCTGCCATCTTTTTTTTTTTTTTTCCACCCGCATGTCATATAAGCCGTGACTGATTACCTCATCTTCCACATTTGGAATGGAACTGCATAATGTTGCAGGGCAAAGGGAAGTGACTCATCATGTCAGCATGAAATAATTCCAGCACAGGGATTTAGAATAATACCTTTACCTGCATGAGCATGCTTAAATTTAGTCACCTTGCGTTCACTGATTTGAGTCTGCATGGAATCTATAGATGAAAACATTAATGCTGTGTTGTTCAAATATGTCTGAAGCAATCTGAAATGAAACACAAATGGATTGTGAATGTCCATGTTCTCAGTGTGACATGTGTCTGTTAGAAAATGGGCTGGAAATCTGAAAATAGCTTCTGGTTATTATTAAGCTCTTCACAGTCTCTGACAGTTGTTACATAGGAGTTTAGGGAGAGAAGTAGAATTTCTAGCTTTGTAAAACAAAGCTTTTTAATGTTAGGCTATATTTAGCATATCCTCCTGTTCCCAGACACAGCACAGCAAAGTTCAGTATTGTGCTAGTCATGATGCTGTGAATATTTACAGTAAAATCTCTTGATTTTGCTTTTGCTTTTGTTCTCAGTTCATGTCTGAAAGCACAACGAATGTATAACAAGTTATGCACTGAAGTTAAAGACTCAAAGCTATTAAACTAGAGGCATGAGCAATTTAGCAAGTGGCAGTAATCAGTTTATATGCATACATTCATGTTATAATTATCCCTGGTTCTTTTATTGTGGCAGTCAACATCTATCAGTACTGCTGCTGCATTGTAATCGTCTGAAAAATGCTGATCAATATAATGTGTATGTGTATCCAGGCACACTGGTGGATGAACAGATGGTGTTGGGCAGCTCCATGCCAACAAACCACAAGCCCTGTCTGTGTGGGGCAAAAACAGGCAGGCATGAAGGGACGGGTGAGTTTTGGTGACCTAAAACAGCAGATAGTAGTCTATTATACAATCAATGTAAACAACATGTACTTGAAATCAATCATAAAATGTATTTATTTTATGTAAACTCCATGGGACATTATCATATGTGATATCAGATGAAGTCTGGGTCATAATACAGTATATCATGAAACGGTAAACAGTGGCATTGGCAGCCAAATTGCTATTACCGAGCAGGTGATATGACCAGGGCCTGGTGAGGAAGGGTCTCCCACTGATTAATCAATTCTGTACACCTGCACTATCAAAATCATCATCACTGAAAGTACAACAGGTCAGAAAAATCTGGTGAATGCGATTATATCAAAGCCTGAGAAAAACCATGTGAAAATTAACATACTGTAATATGATGTCTCCTAACAAATGACTCTGCAGCTGGGAGGAAGGGAGGAAAAGGGAAAAGTAAGTGTGTGCGTGTGTGTGTGTGTGTGTGTGAGACCCTTTTTTTTTTTTTATCAGCACGGTCCATTCCATTTCACAGGGGCAGTGGGATTCTTTGGGCTCATTTTCTAAAACCTTCTATTGGCCTACATGGTGCTCACATTTTGCTACACAGAAAATGCTCATTACTTTAGATATGCAGGTTAGTGGTTTTGACAACTGAGAAGAACCATGAGCCCTATTAAGGTGTAGAAATCTCTTGCACTACGTTTTGATGGTTGGCCCAAATAAATTAATAAAGGTTTTTTTTTTTTCATTTAATTTCTTTCTACATACGTGTGTACAGTGCATGCATAATTATTAGGCAAGTTGATATTCTGATCATATTTATTTTTTCCAAGCACCTTTTACCAATTCCAAACAACATCAATCTTAATAACAACTATTAATTTTGAATGCAACCATTTAAAAGTGATATAAAATTGTAGGTTGGAAGTGAAAAACCCCTTAAATTCATGTGTGCATAATTATTAAGCAGCTTTTCTTTTACAGATAAATTTAGCAAAAAAAGAGATTTAACTCAGACTGAAAAGTGAAAAATTATTAAATCCCCATGTGAAATATTAAAAACTAATGCAATATAAGAAATTACAAAGTTAAGGCATGAACATTGGACAGCAAAATGCTTATTGGGTCATTGGGTCAAAAGTAAAGGACTCAAAACAAAACCCTGAGGAATACCCCTGGCAGTCTGTAAAGGTGCCTGCCATTCGCACCCATTGTGTTCTATCAATTAGATACTTTCTGAACCAGGATATGTTAGACATTCCTATATTTGAGTCTGGTTTTCAATATATCATGATAAACCATATCAAAGGCTTAGATTTGGGGTCTCCAAACTCAGTCCTGGAGGGCCACTGTCCTGAAGACTTTAGCTCCAACTTGCTTCAACACACCTGCCTGGAAGTTTCTAGTATGTCTAGTAAGACCTTGATTAACTGGTTCGGGAGTGTTTAATTTGTGTTGGAGCTAAACTTTGCAGGGACGTGAACCTCCAGGAGCAGGATTGGACACCCCTGACTTTTTGACATATATTTTTTCCTAAAGCTTGATGCGATAAAATATTATGTTCAGCTAAAAATAAAGCCAACTATCACTAATAAGAGTTTCAAAACCCTTCAAATCAAAGTTTAGAAAATCAGTTTCCAATTATCCATTTTTTGTTGGATCACCTTTAAATAATTAATGAACTAAACGAAACTTTTAATAATTATGAATTAAATACATAAGTTCTGTCCTAATTAAGATACGGTAATGACTTTCTAAGGCATATTTAATGTGCCTATTTTAATGACTACAGCTATCTTTTCAGTAAAGCAAATTAATATCAAAGTTGCATGATTTTAATATATGTGACCCTGGACCACAAAACCAGTCTTAAGTCGCTTTCAGGAACCAAAATCAGCAATGAATTGAAATGAATCGCTAAACATACTCAAAAACTCATGAAACTTTGCACATGCGTCAGAAGTGGCAATAATTTACATCTGATATAGGTTTCAGAAGTGGGTGTGGCAAAATGGCTCAATAGCGCCACCTATAAAATTTCAACGAAGTGCCCCTCGAGCTATGTTTCACATACATGTACGAAATTCGGTAGACACTAGCGCTACAAATGTTTTTTTTTTTTTTACTTGTCTGAATCTGCATGTGGTTCTTTCAGGAACCAAAATCAGCAATGAATTGAAATGAATCGCTAAACATACTCAAAAACTCATGAAACTTTGCACATGCGTCAGAAGTGGCAATAATTTACATCTGATATAGGTTTCAGAAGTGGGTGTGGCAAAATGGCTCAATAGCGCCACCTATAAAATTTCAACGAAGTGTCCCTCAAGCTATGTTTCACATACATGTACGAAATTCGGTAGACACATGTAACACACCAATACCTAAAAAAAAGTCTCCGGTACAAAGTTCGAAACCGAACAGGAAGTCTGTTATTTTGAATTTTCTCTGCAAGTTTTGTGCCGTTTTTGCATTTTCAGGTATTGTATTTAAATGAACTCCTCCTAGAGATGTAAACAGATCCACACGAAATTTGGTCAGTGTAATATAAAGCCCTTTGTGACGTTAAATTGCAAAGATCTTAAGTTTTCGTGTCTGTGGCGGCTTGACAAACTTAATTCGCTGTTTCGCCATGAAATAGGAAGTTGTTATAATTCAGGCGTACAATGTCCAATCTGCCCCAAACTTCACATGTTTGATACGACTCCTGACCTGAAGAGATCTATATGCCCATATTCAGTTATAGTCATAGCGCCACCTGCTGGCAACAGGAAGTGACATGTTTTATTCTCTAACGAACTCCTCCTAGAGATTTAATGACATCTACATTATATTTGAATAGTCTAATCTAAAGGCCTTTGCAATGTTAAATTGTGAAAATCTTGAGTTTTCGTTAAAGGGCGTGTCCGTGGCGGCCTGACAAAATTTGATGTTTCGCCTTGGAAAAAAATTGTTGTAACTCAGCCATACAATGTCCGTTCTGCACCAAACTTCACACGTTCATTAAGAGTCCTGGCCTGAACACATCTAAAGGCCAATATTCTGCTGGCAATAGGAAATGACTTAAGTTAGTTTAAGTTACACTAACTTAAACATGCAATGTCCAATCTGCACTAGACTTCACATGTTCAGTAAGATTCCTGGCCTGAAGACATCTACATTTACATTTATATTTAGTCATTTAGCAGACGCTTTTATCCAAAGTGACTTACAAATGAGGACAATAAAAGCAGTCAAAACTAACAAAAGAGCAACAATACATAAGTGCAAATGACAAGTCCCGGTTAGCCTAACGCAGTACATGTAGCAAGGTGTATATATATATATATTATACACACAAACATATACACACATACACAAAGAAACAAGTAAGATAAGCAGACCAGTACCTCCACCTCGTCCAGTCAGACGGGGGGACTGGGAAAAAGAGAAATTATTTGAGTGTGCTGCAGGTGTAGCATTGTCCTCTGGTTTTAACCACGTCTCTGTCAGGGCCATGAGGTTTAGTCTTGAATGACTTGTAATAGAAGTAATAAAATCTGCTTTGTTTACAGCAGACTGGCAATTCCAGAGACCAATAGAAAAAGAAAGTAGAGTATTAGTAGACATAGGCAAAGTGCGCAGGTTGTTAGGATTGCGCTGCCTACAGTGTGTGATGCATGGTTTGCGAGAGGTAGTGATAGTAGGGATCTGGAAACACATAGTAAGAATTGGTTACTATGATATACTGGGCTGTACCACTCCTGTTGCCAAACTGTCTAAGCTCCAGTCATGCAGGTGGTGATATCACTGCTACAGGACCTCTGTCTGTGTGTGTGTGAGTGAGTGAGTGAGTGAGTGAGTGAGTGAGTGAGTGTGTGTGTGTGTGTCTGTCTGTGTGTGTGTGTGTGTGTGTGTGTGTGTGTGTGTGCTCTGTTCACAGCTTTGAGATCCAAATCAGAACAAAGGATGAAGTCACCACCCAGAATTTCCCAAAATACAGAAGGAAGAAGAGACCCGCTACATGAGCAAAACAACTAGTGAAATCAAATCCAATCCTCTCAAATACTCCATTTGAATCAGTTTTACAAAATAGAAATATATGAAAACATGAGCAAAACGTATTCAGATCATCCTCTGTCAGTAACTATAGTGGCATAGTGAGTGTTTGCTCTGCCCCACTCCATCAGGAATGGTTTGATCTGTTGAGTCAAACAGTGAAAGGATGTAAACGGGCCACATAAGGGACTTCTGAAGGGCTTGAGGGTTTGATCACTGCTGGAGATACAGCAGGTCACTGAATCAGGTTGTGAATCATTTCTTAAATAAGGAAGCTGACAGCTAGTGATGTGTAAATGTCCCGAGCAGCTCCCCAAAACAGTCAGTTTCTTCTGGATGAGACAAGTTACGGAGCAACCGTGCCCATGAGACACTGTCTTGCATGGCTGAGGCTGTGTCAACTTTCAGGGGACAATAACTGAAGAGCAGCGTATAATGTCAAACTGTAATGTCTGAGAAGTGATTTGGGTGGATAAGAAGCATCCATCCTTCTGTCAAATCAAAAATAGCTAGAAGACGATCACTGCTGTGACCTTTCCATATTTGGGAATTTGAATTTTACACTTATGCAGACACAGGAGTCTAGACAAGAGCAGTCTAGAAACACATCAGCAGGGGGAGAGTCTCACAGAGCTGCTTTACTCTTCTTCAAACACACACACTTCTACTAAAGGAACAGAGTACAAACAACGCCCCAGTGAGTCATTACCTAGTTTATTCAATTCACATGTATTCTCATATTAGTGATGTCAAGCTGTCAAGTGTATGACAGTTTAATATCCTCCCCAGTGTCTCTCTCTCTCTCTCTGTGGTTAAAGATGGTTTCTTCCACAGCTGTGTGATAAGAGTAAAAATGTCTCAGTGTGTGAGAAAGAGGAAAGTCTCCATCTAGAGGACAAATGGGGAAATGCACTATCATCACCTCAATCATAATAGCAGCTTGATAAAAAAAAAAACGACATTATAAAACATTCAGAAGCAATCTGTTCTGGGATTAATTACATTCTTCTAGCTCTTTCTCGAAACAAAACCTAAATGTACGTTTTCTGTTTGTTTGTCTCCTTACAGGATAAAACATTAATAGGCTACAGAGGTTTGTTTAAATCTCAGCACTATACACTATAAAAAATGCTGGGTTAAAAAGGGACTGGCCCAGCGGTTGGGTTGTTTTGACCCAGAGGTTGGGTTGTTTAGACCCAGCTATTGGGTTGTTTTGACCCAGCGGTTGGGTTGTTTTGACCCAGAGGTTGGGTTGTTTAGACCCAAAACAACCCAACCTCTGGGTCAAAACAACCCAATAGCTGGGGTTGTCCCTTTTTAACCCAGCGCTGGGTTATAGTTAACCCAGCATTTTTTTAGAGTGCAGTAATAGTCATGGCAAGATGTATTGACTGTTTTTTGTTTTTTTTAATAAACCAAGCAAATTAATGTTTTGCTATTATCTCCTAATGTGATTTATGCCACCTTTTCTCACAGACACAGTTCATGACACGTTTTTGAGCTGTTTTATTGAAATACAAAATCTTACAAACAGCTAAAGTTGAAATTTACAATAACAGATCAAAACAGCTCTACACAATGTAAATATATAGAATCTTAATTTTGCAAAACATGAAAATATGGAGCAATGGTTTGAATAGGCGTGCTGTTATTAATGAAACTGCCATGAACGCACTTAAGAAAGCACTCTTAATTTGCAATATCATCCTGTAATATGAACACTTCATCTGTTATTTATTCAGTCCGATGATTTTCAGTGATGTGTCAGTGAGATCAAACTTACAACCAGTGCTCCTCTTAACATTTATCCATGTTCAGCGATACTGGCATTATCATTGAGACATTGTTCTGGATATAATGAATATGAATATTTTGCTAAATGGCGCACCTCTAATTTGGTCCATTTATTAAATGCATCAAAGTCAGAAGTCATTTTTTATGTTTTTATGCCCATGCAGGGCATGCTAGTTCAGTGTGTGCTTGACTTGTTTGACAACATTTTTTCTTCAAGTTTGCATACGTCGAGACAAGTCCTAGCGGATTAGGAATAAGAGTCTTCCCATCATCTCTGTCATTCATTTTGTGAGAGGAATTCATCTGAAAGGTCAAACTCACAGACG